ATAAAAACAGGCCAGTTTCTGACCAGGCGCAGTGGCTCACGCTTGTAATCCCAAGACTTTGGGAGGCTGAGGTGGGTGGATCACTTGAGGTCAGGAGTTTGAGACCAGCCTGGATAACATGTTGTGGAACCCTGTCTCTACTAAAAATACAAAAATTAGCCAGGCATGGTGGTGCACACCTGTAATCCCAGCTACTTGGGAGGCTGAAGCAGGAGAATCACTTGAACCCAGGAGGCGGAGGCTGCGGTGAGCCGAGATGGCGCCACTGCACACCAGCCTGGGCGAGAGTGAGGCTGTGTCCTGAATATAAACAAATTTAAAAAAAGGGCAGTTTCTGCAGGAGTCTCACAGGGGAAGACAAGGGGAACAGGAGGCTGAGGAGACAATATGAGAGATGTCCACTATAAAAAGATAATTCAAGAGCGAAAATCCAATTTTTATGTAAATTATCCAGATGGGCTCCAATGCGTATTCATACTCACCAAAGAAATTGCTCTGTCCTGTATTTTATGTCATTTAGCAGATCAGGTTTATGTCTGTGCCCCAGAGAAAGGACCTATGACATTTACTACATTTGAATTCAAATAGCAATTTTAGATTAATTTGAAAATTGATTAGGTCAGATGTTTCTGCAGACATGTTTTTGCCCTTTTATGGTATAGGGGGGTCAAATATCGGTTTATGAGTCCAGGATTTCTTTGTAAAAACAGACTTTCAAGTCAATTATTAACATCCACTGGAGTTAAAACATGATCATTTTTAAAGTGCGTATTTTCTCAAAAATATCCTTCTTGCATATTTTACCAAAAATATCCTTCTTTTAATTTCTTTTAAAGCATTTGTTTGACTATGAGAAACAGGTAACTATGCAAACCCTAGGACTGTCATAAGTGAATTAAATGTACCTATTTCTGGATTATCACTATCGATTGTCAGGCTTAATCAGTTAGAAAGTAAAAGTAATTTTTACCTCTTTCTGCTAAACTAGAGAACAGAGTGAGTATGGGAAGATGACCTTTTTCCTAGCAAAATGGCAAATTCTCAAGGTTGTAAGTGACAGATTGCTCTCCTGAGTCCCCAGCTTGGCTCCCAGCTGCCAAAAGGTCATCTTCATCTGGATATGTGCAGACACCACACGCTCAGCTCATGCAGAACAACTTCACCCCGAGCCTCCTCCAGCACTCCATCAATGCCATCATCATCCATGCTGGGCAAACCTAGGACCCAGACTCCTCTTTCTTTTCCCCCCTTTCCCTGCCTTCCATGTGTCCTCCAAGTATGACTCAGGACACTACCTACGTCAGTGGTTCCCAAACTTGGCTGAGTATCTGAATCCCCTAAAGAAGGACTTCTTTATTTTTTTTTTTTGGAGATGGCTGGAGTGCAGTGCTGTGACCTTGGCTCGCTGCAACCTCCGCCTTCTGGGTTCAAGCAATTCTCCTGCCTCAGCCTCCCGAGCAGCTGGGATTACAGGCACCTGCCACCACACCTGGCTAATTTTTGTATTTTTTGTAGAGAGGGGGTTTCACCACGTTGGCCAAGCTGGTCTCGAACTCCTGACCTCAGGTGATCCACACGCTCAGCCTCCCAAAATGCTGGGATTACAGGTGTGAGCCACTGCACTCAGCCCTGCTAAAAGACTTCTAAATGAATTCAGATTTGGAGTCCCCTTCCTAGAGACTGAGTCAGTACATCTGAAAGTGGCCTGAGCGTCTGCATTTTAAAGTCCTCCCCAGCCTCCTAAGGTGATTTAATAATGACCAGGATTTTGGACCAGCTGTCCTAAGCATCTCCATCCCCACTACTGCTGCCCTAGTTCAGCCCCCAGCACCTGCAGCCCCGCTTCGGTACTCAAGCTCTGCATTCTCTCAGCCATCCTCTACCGCGTTCAACGATACCACAGCACACACATTGAATGCCTATTTTTTTCCAGGTACTTTGTTAACCAGTGGAAGTATAAAGATGAATAAACCATACTCCTCCCCTCAAGACAACTCTTTCATGAGGGCGATAACCGAGGAAATAGGAATTCATGAGACCACGGCTCTAACTAGAAGAATAAGAAGTACCAGAAGGTCAAAAAAGAGGAACTGATTAACTCAACCTGAGAAAGTCTCCTAAAGCTTCACAGAGGAAGGAATGCTGAAGTGGGGATGAAGAGGAGTTGATCAGAAAAAAAGTAAGGATGGGAGGGAGGGAGAGGACATTTCAGATAGTGCTAAGCATGGGGATAATAGGACTACATTGCCTTTTTTTGTTTGTTGACTTGTGGAAGCGCAGTTTCTGTTCTTACAGGCAAATGTTGGGTTCCTTCTTTCTTTCTTTCTTTCTTTCTTTCTTTCTTTCTTTCTTTCTTTCATCTCACTGTTATCAATTATAATGCAGCACATACATTGAATGTCACTTTTTTCCAGTACTTACATAACTAGTGAAAACATATAAAGATGAATAAATCATACTCTCCTCAAGACAATTTTCATGAGGGAAGAACTTAGTGAAATAGGAATTCATGAATTGTCGGTCGAACTGAAGAATAAGAAGTACTGAAGGCTGGAAAGAGTGAATGATTAACTTAACTGAGAAAGTCTTCCAAGCTTCAGCAGAGAATATTAATAGTTGGGATGAAGAGATTGATCAGAAAAAAGAATGATGGGATGAGGAGAGCATTTGATATGCATGATGGGGATAATAGGACTACACTGGTTTTTTGTTTAAGATAAGACTTGGGAAGCGCAGTTTGGTTCTTACAGCAAATGCTAAATTCCTTCTTCTTCTTCTCTTCTTTCTTCTTCTTCTCTCTCTCTCTTTATTCGGTGACAAGAGCAAACAGCTGCACATTCTTACCTAAACAGACTTTTCACACATATCCTGTTCTTTCTTTCTTTCTTTCTTTCTTTCTTTCTTTCTTTCTTTCTTTCTTTCTTTCTTTCTTTCTTTTATTTTTGTGGATACATAAATAGTTGTATATTTTTACGGGGTACATTAGATTTTTTTTTGAGACAGGGTCTTGCTCCATCACCCAGCCTGGAGTGCACTGGTGCAATCTCAGCTCACTGCAGTCTCCGCCTCCTGGGTTCAAGTGATTCTCCTGCCTCAACCTCCCAAGTATGTGGGACTACCGGGTGGGTGCCACCACGCCCAGCTAATTTTTGTATTTTTAATAGAGACGGGGTTTCACCATGTTGGCCAGGCTGGTCTCAAACTCCTGACCTCAAGTGCTCCACCTGCCTTGGCCTCCCAAAGTGCTGGGATTGCAGGAATGAGCCACCACGTGGGGCCCATTCTGTGCTTTACAACTCCCAGCTGTGGAAGTCAGCAAGGCAAGCCACTTAACCTTTCTGAATCTGTTTTATAATCTTATAAACCAGGTTTAATAATAATTACCAAGTAGGCTTGAGGATTTAAAGAGAAAAATGCTTATTAAAACATTCCCAGACTAATGTTCTCTTTCTAGACATGGGTGGCTACACAGGCATCTGCTTTGTGAGAATTCATTGAATTGTATGTTTCTTTGTGCACTTTCCTGTATGTGTGTTGATGTCAATTAAAAAGTTAGAAACAAGTGCCTAGCTTACTGGCGTCTTAATAAATGTTCTAAATATTGGTTCTCTTTCCTCCTTGTCTTTTCCTGTTGGAAGCAGATGACCAGAGCTGGATTGGATGGCTAATGCAGGAATGACATGCCAACATTTGCAAGAGGTGGAATGTGCTGTTACACTGACGTACAAAGAGCAGTAAGATGAAATTTAATAGGAACCAACATGCAGGAGGTTCAAAAAGAAACAGCACAAGTAATGAGTGGAAGATGTGATTTAAGAGGAATTATGAAAAAGCTCAGAGATTTTTAAATGACGCAAACGTAATCTGAGTCAACAGCCCAGCTTTGCCACTAAACTCTATGACCCTCTGCAAAACAAGCAAGCAGATAAACCCAAACTGTAACCAAACCAAAACAGAAATCTCAATACAAGGTTAGGTTTCTGTAGCAGTGTAATGCTCAAATCCTAGAAATAAATACACTCATTGATTCCTTCATCCATCGGATCATATCTACATTGTAGGCTTTCAGTCATGGAAGCCTCTTCTTAGGATGGGTCTAGACCATTGACCATGTCCAAAGTTCAGTGACTAGGATCATAAGAGGTCTTAAAACCATGGCCAGGCACAGTGGCTCATGCCTGTAATCCCAGCACTTTGGGAGGCCAAGGCAGGCAGATCACTTGAGGCTAGGAGTTCGAGATCAGCCTGACCAGCATAGCAAAACCCTGTCTCTACTAGAAATACAGAAATTAGCTGGGTGTGTTGGCGCCCGCCTGTAATCCCAGCTACCCCAGTGGCTGAGGCACGAGAATCACTTGAGCCTGGGAGGCGGAGGTTGCAGTGAGCTGAGATTGTGCCACTGCACTCCAGCCTGGGCAACAGAGACTCTGTCTCAAACAAAACAATAAAACAAAACAAAACAAAACACCTCATATCATACAAAGATCTGGAGAATTTTTAGCTTTAAGAAAATATTTGGGCCGGGTGTGGAGGCTCACACCTGTAACCCCAGCTCTTTAGGAGGCTGAGGCAGGCGGATCACGAGGTCAGGAGATCGAGACCATCCTGGCTAACACGGCGAAACTCTGTTTCTACTAAAAATACAAAAAATTAGCCGGGCGTGGTGGCGGGCGCCTGTAGTCCCAGCTACTCAGGAGGCTGAGGCAGGAGAACAGCCTGAACCCAGGAGGGGGAGCTTGCAGTGAGCCGAGATTGTGCCACTGCACTCCAGCCTGGGTGACAGAGTGAGACTCCATCTCAAAAAAATAAAAAATTAAAAAATTAAAAAAATAAAATAAAAGGAAAATATTTGGAGGCTGACTGGGAAGGCTTCAAGCATTTGAAAAGATTTTGTCAAGAGTGATTGGATTTATTCTACGTAGTTCAATGAGGGAAAATTCAGTTCAATAAGGTGAAAGTCTGGAAAAGAGTATTTTGGGCCCTTTTAAGGAATGAGGTAGCATTCTCTTTCCGTCTCCCAACATGGCGCCTCAGCAAAAAAGAAGAACAAGAATGGGAAAACTATCTCCCTAACAGACTTTCTGGCTGAGGATGGGAGTACTGGTGGAGGAAGCACCTATGTTTCCAAACCAGTCAGCCGGGCTGATGAAACGGATGATCTGGAAGGAGAATTTCAACAACTCGGCACAGTAATGACGATGATGCACATAGGGCGCCTCCAACTGACCGTTCCATCCTTCCCACTGCTCCACGGGCTGCTCGGGAACCCAGCATCGACCGGAGCCGTCTTCCCAAATCGCCAACCAACACTGCTTTCCTGGGGAACCTCCCCTATGATGTTATAGAAGAGTCAGTCAGGGAATGCTTCAGAGGATTAAACATCAGTGCAGTGCATTTACCACGTGAACCCAGCAATCCAGAGAGGTGGAAAGGTTTGGGTTATGCTGCATTTGAGGACCTGGATTCCCTGCTCAGTGCCCTGAGTCTCAGTGAAGAGTCTTTAGGTAACAGGAGAATTCGAGTGGACGCTGCTGATCAAGCAGAGGATAAAGACAGGGATGATCGTTCTTTTGGCCGTGATGGAAATCGGGATTCTGACAAAACAGATACAGACTGGAGGGCTCGTTCTGCCACAGACAGCTTTGATGACTACTCGCCCAGAAGAGGTGATGATAGCTTTGGAGACAAGTGTCGAGATGGTTATGATTCAGACCAGTATGGCGATGGGGATCGGGATGGGGACCGGGATGGCCCACGCCGGGAAATGGATTGATGCGGTGGCCGGGGTCGCTGTGGTGATCGAGGCAGCAGAGACTCTGACAGAGGCTGTGATTCCCGGACAGGCAGTGGCGGAAGAGCATTTGGCCGTGGGTACCGCAGGGATGATGACTGCGGAGGACGCGGGGACCGCTATGCAAAGACCGATACGACAGACAGGATGATGAGTCGTGGAGCTCCAGAGATGAGATGATTACTCTCGGGATGATTATAGGCGTGATGATAGAGGTCCCCCCGCCAAAGACCCAAACTGAATCCAACGCCTCCGAGGACTCCTAAGGAAGATGATTCCTCTGCTGGTACCTCCCAGTGCAGTCCAGCTGCTTCTATCTTTGGAGGGGCAAAGCCCGTTGACACAGCTGCTAGAGAAAGAGAAATAGAAGAACCGCTACAGAAGGAGCGAAAGAAGTTGCAGGGTCAGCTGGATGAGCCAAAACCAGAACGACGGCCGGGGAGAGACACCCAAGCTGGCGAAGTGAAGAAACTCAGGCACGGGAACGGTCGAGGACAGGAAGTGAGTCATCGCAGACCGGGACCTCCGCCACATCTGGCAGAAATGCACGAAGGAGAGAGAGTGAGAAGTCCCTAGAAAATGAAACACTCAATAAGGAGGAAGATTGTCACTCTCCAACTTCTAAACCTCCCAAACCTGATCAGCCCCTAAAGGTAATGCCAGCCCCTCCACCAAAGGAGAATGCTTGGGTAAAGCGAAGTTCTAACCCTCCTGCTCCATCTCAGAGCTCAGACACAGAGCAGCAGTCCCCTGCAAGTGGTGGTGGAAAAGTAGCTCCGGCTCAACCATCTGAGGAAGGACCAACAAGGAAAGATGAAAATAAAGTAGATGGGATGAATGTTCCAAAAGGCCAAACTGGGAACTCTAGCTGTGGTCCAGGAGATGGAGGGAACAAAAACCGCTGGAAGGAGTCAGATAGGAAAGATGGCAAAAAGGATCAAGACTCCAGATCTGCACCTGAGCCAAAGAAACCTCAGGAAAACCCAGCTTCCAAGTTCTGTTCTGCAAGCAAGTATGCTGCTGTCTCTGTTGATGGTGAAGATGAAAATGAGGGAGAAGATTACACCGAATAGACCTCTACATCCTGTGCTTTCTCCTAGTTTTTCTCCACCCTGGAACATTCGAGAGCAAATCAAACCTCTATCCAGACAAGAAAAAATAAAACTCACCATCTCCTTAAGACCTTTCTTACCTTTCTTAAAAAACAAAAAAATGAAATTCTTTTGCATGTTGCTGCAGCCTTTAAAGTACTGAAGTAACTGGAGAATCGCCAACATAGCCAGAAACAGACTACAGCTTTTTAGAGGAAGAGTTGTGGTGTGTTATGTCACCATGCAGTTGCCATGTGATTAGTGCCTAGGGGCCGCCATTTAGCAGAAATGGTAATGACAGTGATATAACGTCTGCAATCTGGTTGGGCAGTAGGGGAGGGAGGTAGAAGGAAAAGTGTGAGATTTCTATCTTTTAGTTTTTATCCTATTGTGGCATATATGAATTCTCAAACATTATCTGAATACATTTTTCACTCTTGGAAAGGTAGATTTAGCCTCAAGTTGTTTTAGTGTCCAGGAGGCTGCCAGCCCCTCCTCTGATTTAATTCTGAGTTTTGGGGGTCAGCTAGGGGGAATTCCTTTTTTTAACCCCGCAGAGGGGTAGTTGGGAGTGAGTCTGTAGGCCATAAAGAATAGGCCTGCATTGGACCAAAATAAATGGGAAAATCATGGTTTGAAAAGAAGCTTTTGGGAAGTGATGAGTCATTTTGCACCAGGTAATAAGGGAACATTGTGTGACCTCCAGCAAACACATGAATGGTTATTTCCTGGAGCCGGGAGCACTTGGGGGTCGTGGCAATTCTCAGTGTTTTCTGTGTCCTGGTTTTACCCTTTCTAAACACTGTCCTTTCTGCAAGTTTGAATATATCCACGTTCTGTTGAAACCTTGAAGCTAAAAATTTAGACTCTTATCGTCATCTTAAGTTCTTCATGCTACTCTTAACCTCCCAAAGAGCAGTCTCTAAGTCACATAGATAATGTCTTGGGCATTTTCTCTCTCAGCCAGGGAGAGCTGTGAAAGGAAGAATCGCTGCTTTTCTCAAGCAAATCAGTTTCTTGATGTCTTTTGGTTCTCACTCCTTGCTCGCTCCTGATGCTTTGACCCCTTTTGTAAAGCAGAGTGCTCTAGAATAATGGATGGTCTTGGACGGTGGGTAAAGGTGGATAAGTAGGGACAGGGACAGTTAAATTGGGAGCCTTTCTTACAACCTTGATGGGTTTTCTCCCCGTAAGTTTCCTTCTCCACTGAAATGCCACACCAATGCTTGTTGGATTTATGAAGTGACCAGACCAATGTGTTGTTTTATTTATTTTTTTAAAGCTTCCCTTGAGAGAACAAATGGTAATGGAGAGAACTATTTGACAAGGTCCTGGTTTCTCTTGCAACACAGTAGCTAAACTTGCCTGCTTGTATGTGCATTTTTGTAGGGATCAGCTTGGTAGACAGTGTTAGCAGAGAAACCACACCTTGATTTTGGTTTGCAAGATCTTGGTCTCCCATCAGTACTAGATTAGGCCCTGTTCAGCCATGCAGGGGTGTTGGTTTATGCGTGCTGCAGCGGTGGGCATAGTGAATACAATTTACCCAGTGGACAAACGTGTGTACCGAGTGAGTTTAAATAATTGGTGTGGATTGGCCAGTAGCTAAGAAGTGGGCTTTTAAGGAGTGTTGAAGATTGAAAGGTTTTTTGTTTTTGTTTTTGTTTTTTTAAAACAAAAAAAACCATTGATTGTAGATAATGAAAAGCTAGGGTTTGCCCTCTTCATGTCCTTCCAAATAGTTATATCCAAAACTGTTTTTCCCTCTCCCCTACCTTGTCCCCCCTGTTAAAATAGAAACGGGGATTGATTAATGTCCCGCTCCTGAATACATGTAAAATTTGTACAAAAATATCTTCTACGAAAATGATTTGTAATCTGTAGACTTATTACCTGGGAGATGTCTTGATATAAAATCCCATCCTTTGGGTTGTGGATTTTTTATTTTCTCCAAATAAATCTGATCTTTAAAACAAAACAAAAAAAAGCAATGAGGTAGCTCGTGACTGGGGCTATCTAAAACTGGAATGGATCCCGTCTGTCGCTGGCAGTATTTAGCAGGGGCTCCGTGGCTACACATCATGGCCATTGTAGATCGCATTTTTATTTTAGGCGGCGTGACAGATTATATGCCTCTGTTATGGGTTAAATTGTTTCCCCCAAAAAGGATAGGTTGAAGTCCTAACCCCTACTACCTGTCAATGTAACTTTATTTGAAAATAGGCGCTTTGCAGATGTGATCACCTTACGATGGGGTCATGAGGATCCAGTAAGACTGGCGTCCTTATGAGAAGAGACACACAGGGACAGGGAGAAGGCCAGGTGGAGACACAGGCGTGCAGAAGGGGAGGTGGCCATGGAGCACCGGGGGGAGGGAAAGTTGTCATGCAGCCGCAGGCCAGGAACGCCAAGGATTGCTGGCGACAACCAGAAGGCAGGAGAGAGAGCACAGCTCTGCTGACACCTTGATCTCAGACTTGCAGCCTCCAGAAATGCAAGAGAATACATTGCTGTTGCTTTAAGCCGCTCAGTTGGTGGTACTTGGTTTTCCTAGCAGCCCTAGGAAACGATTACAGCACAACCCTCTCCCTTTCACAGCCTCCGAATCCTTATCAGCCAGGCAGCAACAATACAGGTAGGCCTGCCCAACCAAGTTACCTGACATACAGATTGCTCTGGCCTTCTGCAGCCACCCCCATGACCGTCTTGCCCCTCAACCCTCTTGTCCTTGGTGCCCCCTCAGCAATGCCCATGACTGCTGAGTGCCTGGGAGACCCTCTGTCCATTTTGCCTTTCCCTTCTAGCCGTGCTTTCAAGTCCAGTGTTGCTCAGGGCTCCGAGTCTGGGGGCTCTGCGAGGCCCACGGTGGGGGCCAGCAAGCTAGAAGAACTCTGTCTTGCTGTCTGTAAGAATCAATAAGCATTGAGATCTCTAGCCCCCCACAGAGGGAAAAGGCTTTCTGAGATGCAAAGAACTCACCTACAAATGAACTTCTGGAATACACAGTCATTTGTGAGTGCAGGAACAGTCTGTGTCGGTCGCTCAGGCCCAGTTTGTAGATAAAGTTGTAGCAACACAGCATATTGTAACATTCACCAGTCCAGAAAGGCACTGAGAGGGCTCAGAAAGCAACTCATTTTTCCTCCTATTGAAACTCAGGAATGTCCTTTGAGGACTTTTGCTGAGATATGCGAATGATTTACTTTTCAAAAAAACTGTAAGTCAGGACCTCCATGTGATTCTCGCCCAAGTCCTTCTTATCATGTGTAGAACTTCTCTGGGTGCCTGATTCTCCCCGTGGTGGCAAACAAACAGGGCCTGTGTGGGCCAAGGCGCAGAGCCAGAGAGGAAGGGTATGGGGCGTTCTCCCAAGGACAGCAAGTACAGTGTGGCCCTCCCTCTGACCTCCTTCGAAGACATTGAGGACTTGGAGTCCTTGCGTCCCCTATGATCCAGTGTGTCCTTGATTGAGTGATGCTGCTCTCCCTGCACTCCACCTCAGCCAAACAGCTCCACTTATCCACTTTATATATTGGGGTGTCACATAATATTGTACTTGATAAGAATGTCCCCTGCTCACATATGTATGTATGTGTGTACCAATTTGAAGACCACTCTTTCTAGCCTGAAGCACATTGCAATGAGTTGCAGGGTGCCCCCCGCAAAGACATGCCTTGCCTTAATCCCTGGAGCCTTTAAGTTGATGTTCTTTGCAAAAAGGATCTTTGTAGATGTAGTTAAGTTAAAGATCTTAAGCTGAGATCATCCTGAGTTATGTGGTGGGCCATAAATCCAATGACAAGAGTCCTTATAAGAGAGAGAAGACAAGAAAACACAGACCCAGAGAGAAGAGGAGAAAGTCTTGTGAAGACATTGGCAGAGATTGGAGTGATGCAGCCACAAGCCAAGGAATGCCTGGAGCCACCAGAAGCTGGAGGAGATGACGCAGGATCCTCCTGTGGAGCCTTCAGAGGGAGTGTGGCCCTGCCAATCCTTTGATTTCTAACTTTTTTTTTTTTTTTTGAGATGGAGTCTCGCTCTGTTGCCCAGGCTGGAGTGCAGTGACCCAATCTCAGCTCACTGCAACCTCCGCCTCTTGGGCTCAAACGATTCTCCTGCCTCAGCCTCTTTTTTTTTTTTTTTTTTTTTTTTGGTCATTTATAGATTTTAATGAATATCTTTGGCAAAGAAGTTTGATACAACCCAGTATAGAAACATAAAACATCTAGTACAATGCCTGTCACAAACTATATCAGAAAAGACTGACCTTTCACAAGCCCATCAAAAGTATCTGAGCTCTGCATATATTGAGTATTTCTTTTTCTTAAGTAGACCTGTTTAGAAGTTATTTTTTATTATTATTTTTAAATTATACTTTAAGTTCTAGGGTACATGTGCACAACGTACAGGTTTGTTACGTATGTATACATGTGCCATGTTGGTGTGCTGCACCCATTAACTCGTCATTTACATTAGGTATATCTCCTAATGCTATCCCTCCCCCCCCCACACACAATAGGACCCGATGTGTGATGTTCCCCTTCCTGTGTCCAAGTGATCTCATTGTTCAATTCCCACCTATGAGACAGAACACGTGGTATTTGGTTTTCTGTTCTTGCGATAGTTTGCTGAGAATGATGGTTTCCAGCTGCATCCATGTCCCTACAAAGGACACGAACTCACCCTTTTTTATGGCTGCATAGTATTCCATGATGTATATGCGCCACATTTTCTTAATCCAGTCTGTCACTGATGGACATCTGGGTTGATTCCAAGTATTTGCTATTATGAATAGTGCTGCAATAAACATACATGTGCATGTGTCTTTATAGCAGCATGATTTATAATCCTTCGGGTATATACCCAGTAATGGGATGGCTGGGTTGAATGGTATTTCTAGTTCTAGATCATTGAGGAATCGCCACATTGTTTTCCACAATGGTGGAACTAGTTTACAGTCCCACCAACAGTGTAAAAGTGTTCCTATTTCTCCACATCCTCTCCAGTACCTGTTGTTTCCTGATTTTTAACGATTGCCATTCTAACTGGTGTGAGATGGTATCTCATCGTGGTTTTGATTT